AAGTAAATCAAGAAAAAGGACAAGTAAGATTATTCATAAATTAATTGATACAATTCAAATGATAGACGAAAACAACAAACCTTAAAAGAATGGAAATTTTTTAGGGAGCTTTTACATTTGAAGACACAATGATTGACATGCCTTCTGTTAAACAAGCACAAAATATAATGGAAACTGCTAAAGCTGCTGGAAAAATTGAATAACTTTCATCTTGGCTTCTTTATGTTGCTGGAAATAATTGTAACTAAAACAAATCTTATCATGAGTTAAACACAATTTTAAAATTGTAAGTATTTTTAAATCATATAAATTTGATTACCTTAAAATAATCTTTTTTTTTATTACTTAATTATATAAAGTTTAATGAAGTTGGAGGTTTTTAATTGTTTTTTATTGGAAAAGTTTTTGTGAATTTTTTTAATATGTAATTTTCATGCGATCGTGAGTTAAATTTTAATTATTTATATAAAAAGAAATTAAATGAATTAAACATCATTTAATTTATATATTATTGACATTTTGGAAAAAAAAAGTTTTTTTTTTATTTTTATTCCTTCTACAGTTTATGTTAAATTGTTAAAATTAATACTTTCAAGCAATGGATTTAGAATCGAGGGAAACGAGGAGAATAAAAAACAAAATCTAGGAATACTAACCTGTATACGAACGTGAATGGAAAATTCTGGAAAATTCTGGAAAATACTCCAAGTTGTAAATGTTGATGCATCGTACTACATAAAAATATTACCTGTAAAGAGAAAAAAAAACAAACAAATATTATTTATTGATAGTTATTTAAGTTATGACAATGTTTTAAATCTGAAAATGTTATTTATTTTCTATGGCAACGCAGTAAATATTATTACAATGTAAAACTAGTGCGTATAAATAAATAAATAAATAAATAAATAAAAATAATAATAATAATAATATTTTTATTTATTATTTAATAATAATTTTTTTTTCTTTTTTTTTTTTTTTTTTAATCTCACATGTACGTACATTTTATAATTATATAATTTTTTTAAAAAATATCATTTTTCTATATTATTATTATTATTATTTTACTATTGAATTGAATTTCGTATTATCAAAATAATGAATGAAAATTAATAAATTTATTAAAAAATTTTTTTTTCATTCATTATTAAAATTTGATTAAAATTATTTTTAAAAAAAATTTATTTAATAATTAATTGATTTTTAAAACGAATTGATGATGATTCATTATTATTATTATTATTTTCAAAAAAATTTTATTATGTACTTTATTAAAGTTTTTAATATTAGTAAATTGTAATTATTAAAAAAAATTAACATGTAAATAGGTGGAGAGGGGAGAGGGGGAGGCTGGTAGAGACTGACATTAAAAATTTCGTGACATTCATAATGTCATTTGATTTTTTTTTTAAAAATCAGGGTAGGATTAAGAAATTAATTTTTTTATTTTATTGTTTAATTATGTTAATTGCAAATTATTTTTTTTAAATAACTTATTAATTATTATTATTATTTAAGTATAAAATCAGGACTTGTAATTTGTTATTAACTGTTATGTTTACCCTCAATTATTTTATTAATTTAAAAAAAAAATTTGTGAGAAATAATTTTTTTTTTTTTTTTTTTTTGTAAATTTCTTAATACGATCCTGATCGTAAATGTCTAATTAATTTTAGTTTATTTTTTCTGTCAATTTAATCAATTTTTTTTTTTTTTGTCATGTAAAAAAAATTTATTTTTAACTAAAATTTTATGTAAAAAACATTAAAATTTAAGTAAAATTATTTATTTAAAAAAAAAAAAAAAAAATGAGCAAGGTAAAATAATAATAATAATTATTTCTGTTAGTGTGTTAAAAAAAAAAAAAAAACGTTATTAATAATAATAATAATAATAATATATACGTATTAATTAAATGTTTAATGTTTTAGCAACAAAGTGTATCTCTTGCCCGTAAAATGGCAGGAAAAAAAGGTTTAACAGCACAGCTTCAAGTTGAAGTTAATAACGAAGAAGATTGGGAAAAACTTTTATATCGTGAAGGTTTAATTGGTAAGATTGAAAACTCTTTTAAAAAAAAAAATGGTAATAAAGTTATGTAATAATAATAATAATAATAATTTTTTAGTTGTTGATGTTTATTCGGAATGGAGTGGGCCATGCATTGGAATGACTGGAAATTTAAAAAGAGCAAAAGTCGATTTCGGTGGTGATGCTTTACATTTAGCAATTGTGAGAAAATTTTTATTTATTTATTTATTTATTTATTTAAATAATGATAATTTATTTATCTCATGTCAAACTTTTCCAGGCAAAAAATGATGAAATACAAGCGTTGTCAAGATTTAGAAATAGAAGCGAACCCACTTGGTTATTTATTGCGGTAAATAAAACTTAAAGTAACAAAAGAAAAATTTATATAACTTAAATGTTCTCATGGGACTTTTTGTAATTTTTAGGGGGGACAATTGGTGACATTAATATTCGGAGCAAACGCGCCTAAATTGATAAAAACAATAGATACAGAAATTAAAACGGAATTAAAAGTTTTAAGAGGGGAAACATGGAGGAGAGGAGTAAATTAACATTTAAATATTTTACTAATTATTTTAATGATTATTATTAATAATAATAATAATTAAATTAGGTTCCTATCGATGAATTATGCGAAGAAGAACGCGAACGATTGGAAACGTCGGAAAAATTAAAAACGGAATCGGAAAAAAGAGAAGCTGAAAAAAGATTAAAAGAAATCGAAGAAAAACGTTTTAAAGCTTATCATTACATGTCCGATCAACTTTTATACGAAACCGTTATTGTTTGTTTTCCTCATACGATACATCCAGAATATGGTTTAACAATAGCAACAGATATAGAAATGCTTTGCCGCGCACTCTCCATGTACATAACTCATCAAGTTAAATTTGTTATAACGAGAGAAATTTTCGACGAAGTAAGATCCTTTAATCCAGAGGATTATTATAAATACATAAATATATATATTAATTTTTTAAAAATTCGGATTAGGTTTTTTATCGCGGTAGTTTAGAACCCACTCCGGATCTTTTAGAAGATTTATCACTTGGACCTTGCGTCATAATGCTTATTAAATCTCAAGTAATTGCCGCACCCGGTCAAGAAGGTGAAAAAAAACATAACGATATTGAAAAACTTATTTGTGAAGCACTAAATGGAGTTACAATAACGGATGATGAAGAATTGGTTATTCCTCATCCTCAAAGGTTAATTCAAATTTTTTTAAATAACAATTATTATTATTATTATTATTTTTAACTTTTAATCCCGACACGATATTAATTACAGCATACCGGGAAAGAATTTATACGTTAGAAAAATAAAAGTGGATGAAGAAGAATACGAGGAAGAAGAAATGCACGAAGAAACGACAGCAGTACCGGGATGCTGGACCCCCGCGTCTTATTTAACAAAATGTGCTGCTGTTAAATATTTCTTCCCGTTAAGAGCTGAAAAGGTACAAAAAAAAAAAAAAAAATTCAACGAAATTCAAAAATTTTTTTTATCATTAAAAAAAATTTTCTGGTTTAAGGTGATGGCACCAGAAGAACCATCAAATCCTCCGAAAGTTGTCATCGCTTTTGATGTATACAAACAAAAAGAATGTTTTGAACTCGTTGAAGAATATCACGATGATATTCTCCACACGGGATATTTTACCAGTGTTGATCCCGAAACGGCTGAACATTTATGTAACACACCAGAACAATATGCTAAATTAGATCATAATGAGTACGTGTTTAAATTATTATTATTATTATCGATATTTAAAAAAAAACAAGTGATAACCATTACGTTTTTATACAGTGCGTATAAGCTTGTTTTTGTCGTGAAAAAAACAAAGAGCGAACCTTTACTTTCACTCGCTGGTCTGGGAGCAGTTTATGTAAGTGCAGATGAAAAAGTTGGCATGGCTGAAGCCGATGCATTTTTCCCTCCCGGACACGTTCCCAGATTTCGTAAACGTGAGTTTAATTTTTACTTCGTTTAAATTTTTTTTTTTTTTTTGAATTTAAAACATGTAAAATTTTAATTTTTTTAGTTGAAGCTGCTGAATTACGAGCGATGCATGCGCATACAGTGCAAGTGGAAGAGGTAGTGGAAGAAGAAGAAGAAGAAGAAGAAGAAGCCGACGAGACTGAAGAACAGGATGAAGATGATTTGATGGCTTTATTAGGCATGACTCCTGTTACGGAATAAAAAAAGTTAAGTAAAAAAAATTATCATTTTATAAACCCCCCCGCCCCGTTTGCATTTGTTGATTTTTCAAAGTCTATAAATTTTCAAAATAATTAACGAAAAAAAAGACAAATTTAAATTAATTTTATATATATATTGAACAAAGAAAAAAAAAATGAACACAAATAATTAAATATTAATCGATTTTAAATTCGTTCGTAATTGTTCTTTAGCAATTTGGGTTATTTTATTTTTAATACCGGGATACTCGCTGGTACAGGTTAAAAAATCTTTTGTACTTAATACGTAACATTCGGACATTTCAAGTGCAATCGTCGTCGCACGATAATAATTATCATTAAGATTAAATGCAGACAAACCAAATTGTCTTCCCTCGTATAAATGACCGAGTTCTTTTCCTTCCGCCGAATAAATTGCGACGGTACCGCGATATAAAAAATAAAATTTTGTCGCTTTTTTACCCGATCTGGAAATTATGTCGCCGGGTAAAAAACATTCCAATTTAAGTTTTAAACAAATCGAATTTGCCAAATCCGCGGGAACAATTTTAAATATTGAATAATAATTCATTAATAAGGGTTTACAAAGAAAACTCGCTATCTCTTGTCTGAAAGGCGGTGATAACGTGTTCAATATTATTTCCTCTCTGAAATATTTATTACCGAAACGAAATTCAAAATATTTTTTAACTTTTTTATGTATGTGTTTGGGTAAATTTTCTTGTACCAAATATTTATGAACCTCTTGAATCATTTCTTCGTATTCGATGAACGAACTACTCGAAAAACCAGAAATCTGTATTAGAAAACCCAAAAGCAAAGTGTTCGATATGTAACTGGTTATGAAAACGAAATTAATGAAAACCATGTCTTTCAAACTCGATATGCTAAAATGATTTGAAATACCGGATTGAAAACAAAAAATGGTCGACACCAAATAAAACATGGCCGTCTGCCTGTAAAATGTATTATTTCCTTTTATGAAACCGTTTGTCAATTCACCAAATTCGTCACCGAATAAAATTGTGTACATCATGCAACTGAGATATTGAATTAAAAGAAATGTGTACAATAAAAAAAAAACAACTCTGTACGTTATTTCTGACCAATTGTAAATTTTCGATATGTGTACAACGTATTTAGACACGTCGAAAAATTTAACGAATTTTAAAAAAATGACAAATTTAAATGACGGATATTCTTTTAAATCAATTTTGGATATGAAAACTAAAAATTCAAATGGAAAAGACCCGATAATGCTTACGTAAAAACGAAATTGTTTTATATAATGATAAAATATTCTACGGGATTCTAATGACACGTTACGAGTTTCCGTATCTAAAAATCCTGTGAAAAAACGTAACAAAGTGACATCGATCAATTCGAATAAATCGCAAAAAAGTGAACATATTTGATACCAATACGAGTGTAAAACTTCATCTCTAGATTGTGATATAAAATATGAACGTATGGTCATACCTAAAAACATTTCCAACAGCATACCTATTTCCCAATATTCTCTAAATTTACTATATGGATGTATTATGTAATAATGTTGTGATAAATGATTTTCCTTTTCGAATAAATATCCCGACGTGCTTTTTCTCGTGCATGTTTTCCTACCATTTTCTTCGGATATTAATAATGATTCACGCCATTTTCTACGTAACGTTTTAAATCTTTTTGTCGATGGGAAAAATTGTTGTAATACATTTTTATCTCTTGTAAATGCGCATACGTGTTCAGATTCGTTTTTTTTACGTTTCATTTTTCTTTTTTTTTTTTTAATTACAAGAGAGTAATAACAGTTTTAACGTATATAATCATAACATCTGGAAAAAGGAAGAAAAAAATATTATTATTATTATAAGATTTTAAAAAAAAAAATTTAATTAATTTGTATTAATACTTACCAAAACAAGTTAAACAAAACAATTTTAATTTTTGGACCAATAAAATTCGTTTCCGGTAATGTCGGCCATTATTAATTCTACTATGCCGTCACATCTAAAAAAAAAAAAAAATTCATTTTTGAAAAATAATAATAATAAACGATATTCAAATTTTAATTATCACTTTTTGAAAATTATGTTAATTTTATACAAATAGATAATTTACGTTATAATAAAAAATAAAAGTTTTTTCCTTTGAAAAGTTAACACTTTAATTAAAAATTAATTTTTTTATAAAAATTAATCAATAACGGACAAAAAGAATAAAAAAAAAAAAAATTTTTTTTAAATATTCATTAATCGCGGAACGATAATTAAAATTTAAATATCGAAGGCTGTGGATTTTTTTTTTTTTTTATTATAGAAATACATTTGAATGCATTTTTATTATATCTATGGTCGGTCAAAATGGCGTACGTTAGTTTTGGTGTCATTGTCGAACAGTGTTCAGGTGACAAATACATTTTTCCATTACTAATTACGCTTATTTGTTCCTTATTGTAACTGTTATGACTTATTATTTATTTTTAAACGTTTACAAGTTTTGTTTATTACATTTACTTCCATTTTTTTAGTGATATTATTCAATAAAAATCAAAATAACTTGGGTGTGGAGATATCTATGAATTGTCAAAGTAAATCAGTTTATACTCAAAATGAATAAATAAAATCTTATTATCAATTTTTAATTATTTCATTTGAGGGGGAAAAAAAAAAAACGAAAATTTTTTTTTTTCCATTTTAAAAATTGATATATTATTATTCAAAATGAAGAATGGATAACCTGCAAGTTGTGTCGGGGAAGGGCAGGCCAATAAATCGAAATGTGTCCCCTATAAGACAAAGTTTTAATAATATGTCTGGAATAACATCGAGTCCTGGACCTTCCGGAATGAAGGTTTCACAAAACGTGTTGTAAGTTTCAAATCCTGTTTTATAAAAAAAAAAAAAAAAAAATTATCATTATTATAAAACATTAAATAGCATTAAATTACAAAGGCTACCCAAATAGATAAATATTTATTATTAGGAATGCTAAAAAAAAAAAAAAAACAATTAAAAATTTATGAGTTTTTTTTTTTTTTTACGATAAACAAATCCTAAATCTTTTATTCTATAAAAGTTTCTTTAAAAAAAAAATATAATGAAAAACATAAAATTAAATTTGTATTTATTTAGAGATTCTATTTTAAATTGTGTATACTTCACAATTTAACTGTTTAATTAATTAATTGTCATCATGAAATTTTGTGTTAAACAGGAAAAAAATACAATTTTTGATAATTTTATGTTCATCATTATCTTAATGTTTATCTATAGAATGTTTCGGATAGAAAAAGTTTTTGTATCTTACTTATTCCATCATCTATCGAATTCGTAATTCGTCTGTCTATTAACTGGGGATAATTTTTATAAATTATCTTCAGTTATGTATTCCTTGCAATGATTGTATCCCCTGTATCCCAAAAGAAATTAAATTCTTACATATCAACAACATTTAAAACACAAAAGAAAGAAAAAAAAAATTAATTAAACATAACTTTTGTTTTATGTACTTTTTTTTTTTTTCTTTCTAATCTCATACACAAAAGATTATTATTATTATTTTTTTATTATTTTCTTTTGTTTATGAAGGTTATTGGAAAAGTTTTAAAATAAATAATAATTAATCACCATTTATTAAAAAATCATTTACGATTATATTCGTTATTATAATTTTTTATTTACTTTACTCGAAACGATAATTTTAAAAAGGTACTACTGATTATATGACGATGAAATTTTTTGTAATTTAATAAAGAAAATAGTAATAAAAAAATTGACAGTTTTTATAGCTTTCAAGACATTAATTATTGAAATATATAAATGAAAAAAAAAAAAAAAAAAATCATTTTTGATTTAATAAATAGATAAATGTGCTTTTATTATTATTCTCGTGCGCTTTATTTTAAATTATTATTATTATTATTATTTTCTAATAAATGTTTACTTTTTATATAGGTAAAGACATGTTTTATTGTGAAAAGCTCTCTATTAAGGACAAAAGGGTCAAAAGTAAGATTCTTAAGGTCATTTGGTTTTGATTCCTTGATTGCCTATTTTTTTTTATTTAATACTATTTTAATACATTCTCTTTTCACTAGAAGGTTTTCTTTAACATTCAGGATTATTATTATTTTAATGTGTATATATATATATATTTATTCTCTCTCTCTCTCTCTCTTTTTATCACAGGGGCAAAAAATTATTTTCAGGTAATTTATTAATTGTGTCATCATTATAAGTTATAAATTTTTACAATTTGACCTCACATCCTCATTACAAAAAAAAAAAAATTTAATTGTGACTTGGCATTCATCTCTTTTTTTTTTTTTTTTTTTTTTTTTTATTTTATTTAAAATATTTTTCAAGTTCTATTAAAAGATGAGATTTGAATGTGAAAAAATGTTTTTTTTTTTAAATTATTAATCCCAAAGATATTAACAATGATTTAATTCTTTAATAATTAAACCAAGTGAGAGCTTTTGAAAATTTACAAAAAAAAAAATGAATTAATTTTCTTCTTACCTTTTTACAGGCGATCAGGTGATGGAAACGGTAGTAGTGGTAGTGGTTCAGTTGCTTGCATTGGAAGTTCATCTTCTTCTTCTGGAAAACATCGGAGAAAATCACCAACAATTCTCAAAAGAGAAATCGAAAGCACAACTCCGCACATTCCTTCAGCCGATTTATTGCCTGGAAAATCATTAGAAGAATCAATTACTTTTGACGATTCGGTACCGTAAATCATTATATAAATTTTTCCCCTTTTTTAACCGTACTTATTAAATTTTCTATTAATTGTTTTTTTTGTTTGTAACAAAAGCAGGATGTCTACATTCATTCTTCTTCGCTTGCGTCTAATGGATCATCCGAACAGGTTTTGATGGCCGATGAGCCGGATAGTCAAGTGCCTGATATGCATCGTCAACGATCTGCAGCTATAGAACACATACAAAGTAAGATCTCAAAGACAATGGACCAAATTCGAGCTGAACAAACGACACGTGATGGTAAATAATATATATATACAATCAATTATTTCTATGCCAAAATAAATTTCTATTGAAAAATTTCATTTAAAAAATTTTTTCCAGATAACGTTAACGAATTTATAAAATTAGCCACGAATGCGGATAAACAGCAAATCCAAAGAATAAAATCAGTTTTCGAAAAGAAAAATCAAAAATCTGCCCAAATAATATCTCAGTTACAAAAAAAACTCGAGACTTATAATAAAAGGATCAGGGATATTGAAAGCCAAAAACTTCACACGAGCCACCGACAACCGAGAGAAGTTTTACGGGATATGGGACAAGGATTAAAGTAAGATTTACAAATCTCTCTCTCTCTCTCTCTCTCTCTCTCTCTCTCTCACTCTCTCTCTCTCTCTCTCTCTCAAATCAAAGGAAATCAATTATTAATTAATTTTTCTTTTATAGAAATGTCGGAGGAAATATTCGTGATGGAATATCAGGCCTTTCTGGGTGAGTAAGATATTTTTCCCATACGTACCTGTTAATGTCGACTCGGCAATATTATATCCTGAAAAGAAAAAAAATATATATTATTATTATTATTATTCGGATAGTAAAAAAAAAAAAAAAATCACGTGACAAATTGAAAATTTGTTTTATTATTATTATTAATATTAATTTTGAATTTAAATTGATGTCATATAATTTTTTTTAATGAAAAACAAACAAGCACGTATTCGGTTTTTTTTTTTTTTTTGTTATTTACTGTCACCAAAATATTCTCCCGAATTAATAATAATAATAATTATTTAAGGTAATTAATGTTAGATTTATTATCGTGCATGAAACAAAACGTTGGGAATTTTTTTTTTTTTTAAATGATTATTATTATCATTCAAGTAGTTGCGTTTTAGGTTGTGAAAATTGTTTAATTTTGAAAGTTTAAAGTTTTTTTTTTTTTTTTTTTAAGAGGAGTTGAAAAGAAATTTAAATTTGATTACAGAACTGTGATGTCTAAACCGAGGGAATTTGCTCATCTTCTTAAAAATAAATTCGGTAGCGCTGACAATATTAATTCTTTGTCTAGAAATGGAGAAAATGGTAGTACAGGGGAAGAAGATAAAACTCATCACGGAAGTGCGACTTTACCCGGAAATTGCACTTTAACAACAACAACGACAACAACGGCTACAACGGTAACAACTCAGGGATCAACTCCGGGTAATACGAAAAAATTTGCTTCGGATGAAGGTAAAAAATTTAAAAAAATTTCATTTTTTATCAATCGTTTGTTGTTGTTGTTTTCTAAGGTTTTTGTACGTTTTTTTGTTTAAGGTTCTCCTTGCAGTTCGGTAACGAGTGAAAGTTTACATTTAGGACAAGTCACACATCATCACACTTCCCCCAGGCATAATAGAACATCATATAATTTAGATCCACTTTTTAGAGAATTACAAGAGAGAAGAGAAGAAATTGAAATATTAAAAGAAAAATTGGAAAATTTAAAGGTTTTCTTTTTATTTTTAATTGTATATGTAAAAGGTTTGGAATCGTTTTTTTTTTATAAATTGTCAAAATTTTTCCTCGCAGGGAGTTCATCAAGAAATTCAATATTTAACGATGGCCATTCAAGAGGAAAAATTTCGTAGCGAAAGATTAGAGGAACAAATAAACGATTTAACCGAACTTCATCAAAACGAAGTTGAAAATTTAAAACAAGCGTTAACGGACATGGAGGAAAAAGTACAATATCAAAGCGAAGAAAGAATAAGGGATTTACACGAAATGTTGGAAAATTGTCAGACGAAAGTGAGGAGAGAGAGAGAGAGAGGATGGGATATAATTTTAACGAATTAAATACAATAAATGAAAGAAAAACTTACCGTTTTTCCAGATATCCAAAATGGAACATCAACAGGCTCAACATCAGCAATACGTCACACTCGAGGGAATAGATAATTCTAATGCTCGTGCCGTCGTTGTCAAACTCATAAACGTTTTATTGACCGTTCTTCAGGTTGTTTTGTTGTTGGTCGCCACAGCTGCGGGAATATTGATGCCTTTTTTAAAAACTAGGTATTGGACCTTCTTCTTCTTTTGTTCTCTCTCTCTCTGAAATGAAACAATAATAAATTAATATTTTTTTTCATAGGCTAAGAATTTTATCGACGTTAGTTTTAATTGCTGCAACGGTTTTCGTATTGAAACAATGGCCGGAAGTTCGAGATGTTGGAAATCATTTAATACGTCATATAAAAGAAGCAGTTTCGGTTAAATAAAATTGGAAAACGGTCTCGTTATAAATTTTTTTTTCTAATTCATACGTTTAATATGTAAATGTAATTGCAATGAATGATGAATGAATGTATGAATGAATGAATGAATGATAAAAATATTCAATTAATTAATTAGGTAATCAATTCACCGATTTTTTTTTTTTTTTTTTTTTTTGTTAAATGTGATAATTAGTGTTATCAACGATAATAACGTATTATTATTATTATTTAAAATTATGCATCAGTGAAATTTTTATTTATATATATATATATATATATTTCCAGTTAAATAGAATTAGGTGTTTCGCGAAAATCGAGTGTCGGAATTAGTTTATTAAAAACAATAAAAAAATTATATATAATATATATAAATATGAACTTTTAGTATAATTGACTATATTATAAACTACGCTGTGCGTTAATAAAAATTAAAAAAAAATGAACATTTAATGGAGTTAAATTTTAATTTTAATTTAGTTTAAAAAAAAAACCCGGTTATTGATTTATAGTAAAAACTCAAGATAGATAGAATTCAATTTTTTTGTTTTTTTAAATTGTAATTAATTTAAATTTATTTGTATGTGAAAAATTATTATTATTATTATTTTTTTTTTTTATTTTATTTTATTTTAAATCATTATTATTATTATTATTATTTATTTCGTTTTAAAAAAAAACTTTTTATTAAGATCAAAATTTTGAATGTTTAATTTTTTACCTCATTGTTGAGGTAAATTATTAAAAAATTATTATTATTATTTATATGTGTATGTATAGCAATATTGGTTATGTGATACTAGAAAATTTACCGGATAATTTTTTTTTTTTTTTACAACGTCTTTTAATTTTAATATTTGTTTCAATTATTATTATTTATTTATTTAATTACATTTTTTGTTTTTTTTTTTTTTAAATGAAATAATCCGTAATTAAAATGTATTTTTTTTTTGTTTTTTAAATGTTTATTTACTATGGTAAATAATATCTGTGATTAAAATAAAAAATTATGTTTAGCATTTTTAATAATTAATTTGTTTTATTATTTGATTACCTCTCATGCATTCCATTAAACACACATAATCTTAATTAAAATTTTACCCTAAAAACATCGAAAAATTTACTCTGATTTATCCGTAAAACATAATATCCAAGGAGGTATAGAAAAAAATAAAATTCAAACAATGGATTCCCGCTTAAAATAAAATGTGTGTCAGGTAAAATATACAAGGTCGACCTTGAATGCAAAAACGTGACCATGAAAAATTTTCACAAAATAAAATTTTAAAACTGGTGGCCTTGTATTCAAGGTCGACCTTGGTTGAAAAATCATGACCATGAAAATTTTCACAAAATCGAAATGTAAAACCAATGGCCTTGTATTCAAGGTCGACCTACTTTTGAATAAATCGTAAACGTTGGATTTTCGCGCTCAATGTCATTTTTAACTTAATTTTTAATCGAAAATTTTTTTCCGATTTATCCGTAAAACATAATATCCAAGGAGGTAAAGGGTAAAATAAAATATATATATTTATATAATATAATAATTTTATATATATTTACATATTCAAATATAATTTTTTGTAAATTATTCATAAGTAGAAAAAAGAAATAATAATAATAATAATTTTTTCATCCTGTCATATATATATATATATATATATATATATATATATATATATATTTTAATATATTATTTTGTTAAACGATCAAAAAAGAAAAAAGAATCATTTATCGAAATCCTTTTTGGTCTGCGATACAATTTAAATAATAAAATTTTTTTTTTTTTTCTATTACTTTACATATAATAATTTTTAACGAGTAGTTGTTTACTGTCTAAAATATTAATTAATAAAATCACATAATATATATATATATAGTTGTGGATTAATAATTATTGATAATTAAATGACAAAACCAATAGCAATGAATAATGCAGACGAATGCACAAAATAAAATTAATTAAGTCCTAAAAGTTCTTTTTTTTTTTTTTTTACTTTTTTTCAACAATATTAGTAAATGTAATTTATTGTTTTAATTTTTATTTTTTAACCTAAATCAATTAAAAATCCTTTTGGAATTGAATTCACAAAGGAGCAGGTGTTGGTACACTCATTAATGGAGACTCTAAATAATCCAAATTTTGCAGTACAGGAGGAGTTTCTTCATCTCTGGCAATTTTCTGTTGGAGATCATGATATAACTGATGAACACTTTCAATATGCTGAGATGTTGGTTCCAAAACTTTGATCAGCGTGTGAAGTCTGTTCGGAGGTAGTTTTGAATGAATGTACCACATGAGTTTCAACAAATGTCTTGTTACACTTTCCCTGGCTAATCCTGCCAAAAAGAATTCATCAAAAATGACTGTGCAAAAATCCTCTGCTGCAAATTCATCGCTCATGTGTATCAAATGAGATACTAGTAAATGAAGAAATGGATCTTCATAAGCTCTGTCATTGTCGCATGTAGCTAATATACCTAAAACTCTCATTAAACCAACTTTATCTTTTAATTTGGCTGTGTGAATAGTGTAATACATGGCTAAAATACTAGCAACACTACTTTCAGTAACATAAGCTTGACATGCATCTGGAGCAGGTCCGGAATGTTCTATAATTGTGATAGCAGATTCTCTTTCATCAGGTGGCAACTTGGAATTAAGTGTTCTTACTTGATCATCAACCATTAGAGACATTAATGCTGGCATAAATTTAGTCACAACTTGACAATCTAATTTGGGTTCTTTAAATTCTTGTGTGTCAATCATATACCATGCACTTAAACCGAGGGCTAACATTCTAAGCAACAGTATCAAAACTGTGTTGTCTCTAGGCAAAGCTTCATTATGTATTAAATGCTGCAAAATTTTTATGGCCGATTGAGCTAAAAAATTTATGGCATAAGGATCGCACAAAGTCATCGATAGATCTCCCAAGACTTGTTCTTGTCCTCTTTTAATGCTATCTAAGAATCCTTGTAATTCCCTGGATCTTTTTATATCAACACTTTTCTCTCTTATACAGGCATCTAAACACCAGGTAAATTTGTGACAGGGATCAACTGATATTATGTCCTGTATTTCAAGATCGTGGAGAGCCATCAATAGCTCGGCTCGCAATGTACAATAGTGCACATTACTAGTGCGAAGAAACAATGTCCTCAAAAATTGCAAAACCATATCGTAGAGTTTGACACTTGTACCAATCATGTGTGCCAGCTTTTGAACAACCTCACTTTGCCTACGAATTTTCGGAGATGAGGAAAAAAACAAATTATTTAAATTTAGGTGATCAAATAAAATATTTTCTTTATCTTGAATGTATTGAGATAGCAATGGAGAAACCTCATCTCCAAATAATGATTGATTGTCTCTCCAAATTTGTCTTTTAACTTCTGTATCGGTATCACTGTACAATTCACGGTCTCGAACTAATATATTTAAATACTTGTCATCAATATGTGGAGTATTTCGCAATATACACATTACCACGGGCCTTAATTGCTTAAAACGAACTAATTTAAAACTTTTCGATAGTAAATCCTTTAATTTCCGATCCCTATCTCGACCTTCTTTATGACCGATTTCATTTATATGAGCAATAAGCTTTTCTCGCAATTCTTCTAAAACTGATGTGTGAAAATCCAACCTTCGAATACCGTGTAAATCAAGAAGAGGAAGCATTGGTCTTAACGATGGTAAAAGAATTCCATTATCTAACTGAAATTCTTCAATGGCTTTTAGTGGATCCGTACAACTTGTTAATGCATCCCTTAAAAATTTTTGACCAGGTATATTTACTTCTTCTAACGTTGTTCCAGGAACTTTATAATGAGTACTCATTGTTTTATTTTGTTAAGCTCGTTAATAAAAAACTTTTTCTTAAAACTGATTGAAATTACAAAAAAAAAAAAATTAAACTTTTTTTTTTGAAACACATAAACACGACATGGTAATAAACAATGTATTGTGTCGCCATCTATCTAAAAATAATCTTTTATAGGTTAAGTAACTAAACATAATTGGATGTTCTTTATATTTTCGATTTTAAAGTCTGTTAATTTAAATTCAAATTTAAGTTTTTTTTCCTTTTAAAACATATTTATAAGTTTTTATCGTTCATTACAATGAATTATAATATTATTAAACATCCAAAAAAAATTAAGCGTTTACTATTGCCTTGTTACGGTCGTAGTAAGTGTTAACTGTCATTTATTTTTTAAAAGTTTAAGTTTTTTTTTAAAGCTTTTTTTTTTCTTTCTTCTTTTAATCAATAAAGTACGCATTCAAAAAAACATTTAAATAAACTAATTATTATAATTAATTGTTAATTTTCATACTTACAGGTAATTTCCATGTTTTGGGAATAGAAAGCAGTTGCGATGATACCGGGGCCAGTGTTGTTAATGATTCGGGAAAAGTTTTAGGAGAAAGTCATTGTTCTCAATCTGTAATACATGTAGAGTTAGCACTTCAATCATGAATTAACTTTTCGTATATTTTTCAATAATTTTTTAATAACATTAATGATTATCTTTTTATTTAGAGCAGGTGGAATATTGCCACACGTTGCCTCAGCATTACATAAAAATAATTTAAAACATGTTGTAAATTCAGCTATGTTGCAAAGTAAATTGAAATTTGAAAATCTCGATGTGATTGCTGTGACAGTCAAACCTGGATTAATTTTATCATTAACAGAAGGTGTAAATTATGCCAAGAATCTGTGTACTTTGTACAACAAACCATTAATACCTATTCATCATATGGAAGCTCATGCATTGACTGTTAGAATAATCGATGAAGTATGAAAACATTTTATTAAAATGATTAACAAATAAGAATTACAAAAATAATGATTTAAAATCATTGATTATAAACATGAGTATGAGTATTATTGACTTTTTCAATTTAATGGTTTTCAGGTAAAATTTCCATTTTTAGTTTTTTTATTATCAGGAGGTCACTGCATTTTAGCTCTGGCAAATTCTGTAAGAAAATTTTATAAACTAGGAGATTCAAATGATAATAGTCCAGGACAAGTTTTTGACAAAATTGCAAGAAGAGCCAAACTCATAAATTTAAATGAATTAAAGGGACTAGTTGGTGGAGCGGCTATCGAAAAGGCTGCCAAAACAGGAAATCCTACAGCAATCCCTTTTTCCCAAACAACTTTAAAAAGTCAAAAAAATTGCAACTTTAGTTTCAGTGGATATATAACATCTGCCTATAATTACATTCAATCCCAAGAAATAAATTTAAGTAAAGTATATTTTAAAAAGTTCATACAAGTTTTAATAAAAATCTTGAAATTAAATAAAAATGGTTTAATTAATTATATTTACCCTGCAGACCTTTCACCTGATGCTGTCATTCCTGACATAAATGATTTTTGTGCAAGTTTTCAATGGAGCCTAACAACACATTTATGTCAACGCTTAGAAATGGCAATAAAATATGTGGAGGAAAGAAAATTATTAAATGAAGATGAGAAACGTTTGGTAAAATAATTGCTTTTTTTTTTTTTCCTATTGTGAAATTAAAAGAAAATTTTCTATTGTTTTTTTTGATAATTAATTAAAATTAAATTAATAGGTAGTGTCAGGTGGAGTAGCATCCAACTCACTGATTAAAAATGCCTTGAAATTTGTATGCAATCATTATAATTACAAAATATTTATTCCACCTCCTAGACTTTGTACTGATAATGGAGTTATGATTGCTTGGAATGGGGTAGAACTTTTAAAAGAAAATTTCAAAATGATTTATCCTCATGAATTACAATCTATCGAACCTCAAGCAAAGTAAACAAATTTTTAAAGTCTTAATGAAAGTAGTAAATTCTGATGGTAAAATGGACTTTTAAAATGTTTTTTTTTTTTTTTTTTACAGGAGCCCTTTTGGAGAAGACATATCAGATGACGTGGCCAATGTTATGAAAAATTTTACCTTTTCAAAATCTTCCAAGGTTAAATTGCAAAAATTTATTGAAAATGCTCCAAATTCAAATCTATAATGTCCGTTAAAATTTATGCTTCAATTTCTCCCATGTATAATTGTTTATCACTAGAACAGGATAAAACTAAAACAAATTTTATTTGATTAGTTTCCAAACCCAAAAATTTTAAACAATTCAATTTTATTTCAATGACTTACTTATTGGTTCTTTGGGATGAAATTTAACATCGTTCACACTTCCATTGTGCCCTGGCAATTTATATAAAATTCTTCTAGAAGTTGTATCCCAAATGTAAACAAAACGATCTGCAGAACCTGCAGATATTTTTGACCCATCTGGGGACCAGCAACATCGAAGCAAATTCTACACGCATGTTAAAATTTATTTATATGAAATGCAGTAGTTTATAATAACAAAAAATAAATGGATTAATAAATACCTTTTCAAAATTATGCTGATGTCCTGTAAAAATTTTGACACATCTTTCTTGTGGAGCAAAAGCTCTTACATCCCAAATTCTAAGGGAATTGTCCATGGCATTTGATAATATATAAGAACCATCTGGCGATAGTGAAATTCCAGTTATTGTATCAGTGTGACCTTTAAGTTCATATAAAATTGAATTTTTTCTTAAATCCCACACCTAAAAAAAAAAAAAGAAAAAAAAATTATTTTCATTTGAAATATTTAAGTAATTCGCTTTTAATAAAAGTTTATATAAATGATATACTTACCTTTAAGTCATTATCAATACCACCAGATATAACTTGTTCTGCTGTATCATTGAATGTAACAGATGTTACTTGATATATATTATTTAGTGTCACACATTGACCTTTTTTTCTGGGATCCCAAACTTTTATAGAACAATCATCTGAGCCGCTTACGATTTGAGTGGGACCTCTTCGAGCTGATTGGCATGAGTTGACAAAGCTTGTGTGACCTAAAATTATTATTTATTAGAATGTAAATTTTAAATAATTAAATGACTTATTTCATTTTATTGAGATCACACATCAAATTCCTGCAATTTTTAAATGAGCACAAGTAAATGTAGATATATTTAAGAGAAGTGTAAATTTTTAATAATTAAAATTATTAGAAAATATAAATATATACATACCCTTAAGTCTTTTAATTCTTGTTCCTGACTCGATATCCCAAATTCCAACAGTCTGGTCGGTACTGGCAGTAAAAATTGAATTTCCATCTGTTGAAAAGTGCAATTCCATTATTGCACCACTGTGTCCAAGCATCAAAGAAATATTTTCACATTCTCCATATACATTCCATAAAACTGTAAAACAAAATTTAAAAATTTAATCTTACATATATGTATTCTGAAAACGCGATTTTGAGAAAAAGTGAGATTTTGTAAATTAATATTTCAATGTATGTTGAACATAAATTATAGAATAATAGATATTATAAATAAAAAGTTTGATTTTGATAATTAAATTAAATTCATACAAATTTGCCTGTCAAAGCCGGCTGATGCCAGGTACTGCCCCTCCGGATGGAAACCAACGGTGAATATTTCCCCTAAATGTCCTTCCATAAGCATTATAGGAGACATTAAACTTGAAGTTCTATCAACTCCCTAAAAAAAAAAAAAAAAAAAAAAATCAAATTATTTTATTTTGAATTTAATTAAAATTAACTATTTTATGTAACTTAGTAAATGTACTTTCATTTTCATCCGCAATAATAATTTAAACTTACCGCTGGAATAACCGTTTTTTCACGGGAAGATATAAGTGCAACATCATTTTTCGGTTTTTTATTAATTAAAGCCAAGCCTAATTCATCAGTAGTTGATTTTCTTTTTGTCATTTTTATCAAAAAATAAAATACAATTTTTAATAAACAATAACAGTTAGTTCGCCATTACTTTACCGTACTAAACGTGAGTCTAGACTTTTGTCGCAATTTTAAAATCACGTACTTTATTTTTTTTTTTTCAAAGGTTTTAAAAACAAAACTACAAAAATTTTCAAACTATGAATTCTTACATTTATTAAATTAATCGTAAAAAAACTTACCTTAACTTAACTTAGTACTGGCTACCTAACTTTTTACTTTTTTTTCATCATGCTTTAATGTAACTAACGTATTATTTAACCGTACAAAATTTTTTTGATATTTTAAATTTTGCTCATAACTTCCTTATGCTGATTATAATTCCATAATTATTCTATAAACGCTGTCATTTAAGGAATAAAAATTGATGATGACCAATAAAGACAATCAATAAATAATATAATAATTTTTTCACACTCTATTTAAATAAATTCTAGAAAAATCACAGATATGTTTTCCTATGAGAATTTTTTTTTTTTTTATCAATAACAGCAATAAAATAAGCCTTTGAAATTGAATCAATAGCATTAAACTTTCTGTTATACACACATTTGTAATAATCATTTCTTAAAAGCTGAAAATTTTTGTACAATAAAATTAATTATATTATTAAATATTAAAAAAAAAAAAAATTTAGGAAAAAATAGGAACCCATAACATAATTGCATCCTTCACTTTTTGAACACTTCAAAGCACGGCACAATTCATCTCTTGTACAGAGTGTACAATAATAATTTTTTTTAAATAAATTCAAATAAGGCTATCTAATATTTACAAAATTATTAAATATCACAGTGTGTCTTAATATATCTGGGGGCCATTTTAATGAGAGCTGAAATAAATTTTATTTTAGAGATTTAATTTTTAAGTTCTCCAAAGTCTAAAAAAATTCAGTAGCCACCATTTTGGAGGTTGCAAATCAACGAGTATCCAAGTGTAAAGTCTTTTACTTTCAAAAGATATTATTTTGTATTTAAGATTTATTAATCCATCTTTATCATATGATCTCTTACCCTTATCCATTAGCTCAAACCTAGAAAAATTTATAAGACATAAAAAATATAAAAAATTTATTAAATTTCAATTTAAAACATATTGAAAGTTATCAATTATTTTACCTATGTGGATTTGGAGTTTGTTTCGCATGAGGTAACATAGTATATCGAGCAATTGTAGGAGGATACCTAGATACATGCAAACCTTTTCTTTTTAATCTACTATATAAATCATCATCTTCCCCTCCCCAACCCCAAAAAGAATTACTAAAACCGTTAATGAGTTTAAAATGATCTTTACTTAATGCACACACACCTCCAAAAATTCCTTTGTAAGGCAAACTAAAAAATTTCAATTAAAAATTGAATTATGAATATTAACATATGTGATAAAGAAAAAACTAAATTAATTTCAAAATATAAATACTTACCGGTAATTAAATTTATCAACAGCTACTGACATGTGTCTCGGCTGTTCTGGACAAGTGTACAAATTTCTATCATCTTCTGGAATAAGGTCTACGTCATGAAATATATAGCAGTCAAAATCATTAATTTTTGACCCTTCTGTGAATCCAACATTTAAAAGTTTACCTCGATTAAACGGATCATCACCTTGAATAAAAAACAAAAAACAAAGTTAAGTTTAAATTATAAGAAATTTTTTAAAACTGTTTGAAATATATTAAAATATAGTAAAAATACTTACCATCTTGTTCAATAACAAATATTCTGTACTCAATTTGTTGTTTCATTAACAATCTGTGAATATTATTTAAGAAAATGGCTAGTTGATAAGGTCTGTTACGATAAGGAATGACTAGAGCAACTGTATATCTAGGTTTACATTCTTTCGGTCTGAATACACCTCCAGTCTCTAAACCCTCAAAATCTTTTTCCACATCGGAAAAATTTTGAAACATTTTTCTTATATTTATGGGTCCTTCTACAAATGAAACAAAAAAAAAAAACCATTAAAATTAAATTTTAATTAAAGTGCACAATATAAAAATTAGATTAAAAAAAAAGAAAATCATACTCAAATTAGGTGGTACAGGAGGACAAAGAGGGATGTTTTCTGTTAACTTTTTAGTAAAATACAATGTGCTATTCTGAGTGTAAGTTCCATTGTAAAACTCATCAAATTTCTCATACATTGTCAAATTTTCTGTTGGATATCCTAATTTAATTTTTGATGAATTACCAAAAAACCATGGTTCAAATTGATGAGAATCTAATGTAACCTGACGCCAATACTGTATTATTAATAATGTTGCTACCACTGAAAATGTTACCTAAAAACAAATTTGATAAAATTTTCGTTAATTAAAAATACATTTTGACATTTTTTTAAAAATTCTTTTACTAAAATTAATAAATAAATATAACAATAATTTAAATTTTACATTTGAAACATGTTCTTACCTTTATAAGATGTGTTTTAGTCCACTGAAAAAGTTTCATATCTCACAGAACTCAACAATTATAAACAATGTTTCTTAACTTGAAATTAATCATCTGATAATTAAAATTAAACAAGAAATCAAAGACTAGTAGAAAAAAAATAAAATAAAATTATGTAATTTCAGACTAGCTAATAATACATTGGTTAAATTAAATTAAACTCAAAATAAATTAAATTTTTTTAAAAGAAATTAAAAAGTTTCAACCAAGATGTTCCGTTATTCAAATTTTGTAATTTATAAGAAAAAAAGAGATTATTTATCCTTTAACACAAAAAACTGTATTATTGGTGTTCTGTTTCAATTTTAAAATCATTTCTACAACCCAATTATTACAATATCATTAGCTTCACTTTCATGATAATTATATGAAATTGATCCATAAAATTGCTGATAATTTATTCAAAAGTGCTACACCTCCAGTCGACATTTCAACATTGTAACTTCAAACTTGTACTCAGTTTATATTTTCGATGACAAACAGATTGTAAATTAATCATTTATCTGAAAATAATAATTTCACCTTATTAAAAATAACAATAATAATAATAATTAATGTATTTAAAAGGAAAACAAAAAGAACAGCAATTAAAATTAATTGAAAATTTTATGATTGCCTCAAGTAAGAACAAACATGTTTGAAAAATGATTGACCAATCAGGGGGAAAAAATTTTTTTTTGTTTTATAACGATTTACTTTAAAACAGCTAAATTGAAAAAAAAAAAAAAAGAAATTAATTAATTAACTAAGTATCGATGAATCGAAACAATCGAAATAAAAAATGCAAGTTGACAATAAATCATTATAATAATTTAACACAATTTAAATTGTTTTAATTAGAAATAAAAATATATATGTATATATCCATAAACATTTTTAAAAAAATCAATCAAAGATTTACTTTTTCAATAAGTTATCATTTGATTTAAAAAAAAAAAAAAAAAAAATCTACACAGACCTCTCTACAAGTAATAAAATGAAATTTTCTATCTTTATAAAACTTAAATTTTTCTTATTCATACTTAATAATAGATTATTTAAATCTTTTCAAAAGAGAAAAATATAAAAAAAAATGATTGATAATGTATTACCTTATCTTTCCAATACCTAATAATAATAATAATAATAATACTTTCAAATGGTGATAAATAAATCAATTGCAAAAAAAAAATATTTTGCAATTGATATAAAAAAATTTTTTAAAACTTATCTTTAAATAAAACCTTACTTGTAAATTATAATTTTAAATATAATTATAATTAATCATTTCATAATTAATTAAAAATAAACAATCAATCATAATAATAATAATAATTTATATAAAAACAAAATACGAAAAATAATAAAATTTTTTTCTCTCTTTTTTTTTCTTTTTTTTTTTTTTTTTTTTAAATCAAATGATTTCAATAAATAATTATAAAATTTATAATAATAATAATAATTTACTTTCGATTATAAGTTTTGACATTAAAATAATTTACTTTCATTTTCTAACCTTGTCTTTTTTATAAAAAAAAAAAAAAAAAAAAAATAAACATCATTTCTTTTTTATCCACCATTTAAAATTAAATAAATTACAACATTAATTATTTTTTCAAACATTTTATTTTACATTAAATTAAATAAATTTTTTTTTTCCACTACTACTATTTATTTAATAGTTTTTAATTTGATAATAATAATAATAATAACGATAAAATAATATTATTAAAAAAAAAAAATTTTCTTTTTCAAATATGTTTCAAGCACGTTTAATTTAATTTCACGTATACTTGAGTCTCTTCAACCATCGTATCACCAAATATTCATTTTAAATTTACCTCTATGGTTTTTTTATTTTTTTTTTATTTTTTTGGATTAAAACTTTAATTATTTAAAATAAAATAAAAGAAATTTATTATATTTATTAAATGTTATTTAAAAAATTTAAAAATTTGATTAATCAACTTATATTTAAAAATATCAATTGATAAATAATATGTAATATCATATTGGAAACAAGACTCCATGTTTCATACCTTAAAAATTTTTTTTTGGAAAACTTTTAACACTAAAAACAATTTTAAACTTATATATTCTTTTTCATTTACCATTATTATTATTATTATTACTTTAATCTTTTATAAAAACAAAAAAATAAAAAAAAATACTTACTTACCTGAATTTAAAAAAAAATTAATTCCAATTGTTATTTTGGAGAATTATTAACATGGCTGAAAAATTATTATTATTCCTGTTAACAATTTTAATGATTAATAAAATATTATTCTCTCTTTTTATTTAAATAAATATATTATTTTATAGTAAA